GGCCGCGGCCTGGCGCCGCTCTCCCTTCCGCTTCCGACGCGCCCTAGTCGAGCCGGTGTATGTGCGGTAATAACATGTCCGCCCCGCTTCCCGCCGTCGTGCCCGCCGCCCGCAAGGCCACCGCCGCGGTGAGTAGCGTCGGGGCCGGGCGCCTTCGTCCTGCTGGAACTGCCCGTTGCGTAGCATTGCGGGAATGCCGGTGGTGCTGAAGGGTGGCGTGCCCTTCCCGCCCGATGGGACGGGGTCGCACGACCACGGCCTGGGCCGAGTGGGCGAGCGCACAGCGCCGACGATCGCGCCCCTGGGACCCTGGCTGTCGTCCTGGGGATCCCGGCTGCTGCCCGGGGGACCGGCGACGGTGCAGTGGGGGCAGGGGCGTCTGCTCGCGGGTCTTGGGAAGATGTTTCCGCCCTGATTGTGACATGAAGTCCCTAGGAAGAGTGCATCATTATCTCTTCTTATCGTCTTGTTCTAAAGCAGAGAAGTTTTAAGGCTTATTTGGTGCGTTATAAAATCACAGGTATTGTTTCGGAGGGAACTTTGTATGAGGATCTCAAAGTTAGTTTCCCCTCGGAGCCTTTTTTTTTTTTTTTTTGGTTATGGAAAAACTACCGTGTAGGTTTGAAGAGACTCCCCCCGCCCCTTTAGAATTTGTTACTTTGCACTTCTGAGACCTGTCTAGCTGCTAAAGCCCCTAATAAGTTAATCTTAGGCACCACAAGGAGAGGCGTAAATCATGGGAAGTATTACAGCCTGCGCCCTGTGAATCAGACCAAAAGCAGAGCTTGGGTGTTTTAATGTCCCTGGTGGGACAGTACTTCAGTGCTTGCTTATTATCTGAAAGGTAGGAATTGGAATCCACCAGCTCACTATGGGAGAGAAAGGTTTATCAAGGAAAAAAATTATTATAACCTTGATAACTCTGGGTCAGTTCTCCTCACATACAGGAGCACTAGGAGTGGGAGTCCAGCTGTGAGTTTTGGGAGGAAGAAAGGAGGCATAGACTAATTTGGAGAGAAAATCTGAAATTATAGAGTAGATTGTAAGAACCTTCGTATATTGCCTAGATATTCTAAAACCACAATGCAGAATATGGATTTGTGTGGGCATTTCTTAATTTCCATTTTTCTTCCAGGTTATTTTCCTTCATGGATTGGGAGATACAGGGTAGGTACCATTGTTGGTAACAATAATGAAATCATTTTAATTGTTTAAAAAATTAAAGCAACCTTACTTATGTGGTGAATAGTTTTATATTTAGCAACTAGAGGATTGTTTTATTTTTTGTTATTTTTTTTTTTTCAAATGTGCTAGTGGTACAGAGTTATGCTGCCAACCCAAAGGTAGGGAGTTCAAATCCTCCAGCTGCTTTGTGGAAGAAAAATAGGCAGTCTCCTCCCATGTAGTTTACTGCCTCTGAAAACCTGCTGGAGGGTCGGCGATGTTTTGGTTTTGACTTAACAGTATACACAGCAACAGCAGTATTAAGGGTGTTTTATAGCTCCGTGCAAAGCCATCTCACTCTGTGGATCATAATAAGTCATGGAAAATAATTGGGAAGCATAGGAATTCTTGAACACTTATTCTTATGTGCAACCTGTACACATACGCAGAGGTAGGCAATCAAATGAACACCAAGAAGTGTGTAGTTAGTTTGGTATTCTTTTGCCATGAGTCAGTCTGTGCAGTGAACACATAATCTGAGAAGCTAACTCATCAGGCTTGGTAGAAGACTATTAGCAGTCTTCAGCACACATAACCGTATTTGCTGGAAGTAAAGAAGACTTGAAGCACTTACTCTTGAACAACAAAGATTGAAGCTTTCAGTGTGGATTACCTCAGCATACAAATAGCAAAAGTCCTCATAACCAGGCCAGAAGGCAGTGAAAAAAGAGGACAACCTTCAAGGAGATATATTGACATAGTTGTTGCAAATATTGGGCTCAAGTTGAGCAACAGTTATGAGAATGTCACAGTATTGGGCAGTGTTTCATTCCTTGTACATTCTGAGAGTCAGAGGTAACTCAACAGCACCTAAAAACAACAGTATTACTTCTTACAGTCTAATAATGACACTATTTTCTGGTTTTAAAATTTCCAATATTTTTCCTTCCTCATCTTCAGTATGTCACCTTTCAATACCTTTTTTTGGTAATGTTCCAGGTGCACTCCTTTGTTGAATTGCTTCTGGGCATGAGAGCAGAATGTATGCTTGTAGAGGTGTTGTGCAGTTTGCCAGGGGGTATTTAAATTTCAGAACAGGATGAGGAAAAGAAATTATTCTTTTAGATTAGAGAGTAATAGCAACATTAGGCAGTGGGAGTTCTGAATGAGAGGACTAGGAAGGCAGGCAGAACAGATTTATCTGCAGGCTTAACTGACATTATATTGTATTAGGGAACTCTGGTGGCCTACTGGTGAGGAATTGCACTGACAACCCAGAAGCATGCAGTTCAAATCTGCCACTTGCTCCATGGTAGAAAGATTGGCACTCCCTTCCTGCACAATTAACTGCTTCTGAAAAACTCGCTGGAGGGTCAGCTATGAGTTGGTTCTGACTAGACAGTACACAACAGTTTTCTATTTAGGGAGCTCTGGTGGCCTAGTCGTAAGGAGCTGTAATGTGAACCCAAAGAAATGTAGTTTGAATACGTGGGAGAAAGATGGGCCGTCTCCTCTTATGTGATTTAGTGCCTCTGGAAACCTGCTGGAGGCTCAGTTATGGTGCATAACAGTTTTCTGTATGGGTCCTTGGATGGTGGAAATAATGAAGAAAATTAACAGAATCAGATTAGAAAACCAAGAGCATGTGTGACATCTTTATTAAGAATTAAGCTTAACTTTTCTACGAAGATGGCGCCGAAAGTGAAGAAGGAAGCCCCTGCCCCTCCCAAAACCGAAGCCAAAGCAAAGGCATTGAAGGCCAAGAAGGCAGTCCTGAAGGGCGTCCACAGCCAAAAAAAAAAAAGAAGATCCGCACGTCACCCACGTTCCGGCGGCAGCCCAAATACCCCCGGAAGAGCGCTCCCAGGAGAAACAAGCTTGACCACTATGCCATCATCAAATTTCCCCTGACCACTGAGTCAGCTATGAAGAAGATAGAAGATAACAACACACTTGTGTTCATTGTGGATGTCAAGGCCAATAAGCACCAAATTAAACAAGCTGTAAAGAAGCTCTATGACATTGATGTGGCTAAGGTCAACACTTTGATTAGGCCTGATGGAGAGAAGAAGGCCTATGTTCGACTTGCTCCTGATTATGATGCTTTGGATGTTGCCAACAAAATTGGGATCATCTAAACTGAGTCCAGCGGGCTAATTCTAAATGAAATAAATTTTTCTCACAAAAAAAAAAAAAAAAAGAATTAAGCTTAAATAAAATATTAACGATTTTGGTGCCCATCTGGTGACCACTTGGAAAGGAATCATAATAAAAAAATCCCTGATAGTGAGGGAGAAGACGGTGGAACAAACTCGCAGTCATAAAAAAGATGTTGATGTTATAGCATGCATTGCCTTAGAACAAGGAGAGCATGTTACATATCCACTCAGCAATGTCAAATTCAAGATATTTAGCATGGATGTAATAAGTTGGCCCAGTAATATTTTTTTTTAATTTTATTCTATGAATTTTAATGAACATTTACAGAGATTTTGGATTTTCATTCATTCATTGTTGCACTTTTTGACCCAATAATATTTTTACAGCAGTTCTTTGCTCCTTTATTTTCAGTTCCCATCCTCATACTGCATTAACAGTTCTACTTGTCATGTTAATTTGAAGGTTGAAATTTGACAGCTTCTAATTTATTTTTGTTAAAGTTGTTGGGGCAGAGCATTTCAAGGAGCATGCTATTCAATAAGGCCAGTTTATAGTCTTTGTGATCAAAATAATGACTGAGTGCAAACCCCTGTTTAAGTCCATACATTCTCAATTATGTTTTGTCCATTTTCTG